TACAAGCTGCAGTAAGAAGATGTCACATTGGCAACGGATCTTGACATTATCTTCATGAAGTCGACTTTGCAGACATAAAACATGTCAGAGCTGTGGGGTCACAGAGGCTTTTCCCCAGATTTCAAAGCAAGACCTAGGAGCCTGCTCGAAGGATGGCAGGTTTTGTGTCCACGTAGACAGCCTTTAAGATAGTTGTGCATATAACCTCAAGGTGAATCGTGGGTGGCCAAGGCAACTTCAGGGAGTTAGGGACACTAGAAACCAAAGTCTTTCCACAGAAGCCACAGAGTCTCCTCAAATGACAACATAGAGCAGGGGCTCTCCGTAACCACTGGGTCTCATATTATCACACCCCAGATGCTGGACGATTCTAATCTAGCTTGTACTATTTTTTTTTCTTCTTTTCTCACCCCTTATAAAATGTAAATAGTAAATATCAATTTTGTGACAAGCATACAATTACATTTTTATTTTCATAAGGATTTACAACTAAAATTTTTCCTCAAGTATCACAGAAGATGTTGGACTTTGTCTTAAATTAGAGTTGCTATTTCATGTGATGAAACGACACGGCCCAAAGCAAGCTGGGGAGGAACGCATTTGTTTTCCTTACAGTTACACACCATAACCCATCTTTGGAGGAAATCATGGCAGGAACTCTAATAAGGGTAGGAACCTGGAGACAAGCACTGACAAAGGAGTGCTGCTTGCTGGCTTGTTCTCATGCCTTGCTCAGCCCGATGATTTCCTATAGATCCAGAACCACCAGCCCAGGGATGTCAACAGCACAATGGGCTGTACCCTCCCCCATCAATCACTAATTATGAAAATGTTCTAGAGGCTTGCTGACTTACATCCTGATTTTCTGGAGGCATTTTCTCAATTGAGGTTCACTTCTCTGAGATGACTCCTAGTAATGGAGGATCTGTAGCCTGAACCAGCTATTCTGTATAGGTAGACAAGGTTTCCAGGTGAGGGACTGGGACACCAACCCAGTCACGACCTGTAGACCTGTAATTTCTTTGAGCTGTAAGATGTGCTGGGATAATGGTGGTGTAGATCTCAAGAGAGTAATCAACAAATGACTCCTCCAATTTGAGGCTCTTGTCATATAGAGGAAGCACACATCTGAAAATGCCTGGATGGCCAGGAATCTGAGACTGGATAGCTCAGACACCTAGGAAAGAACCAAACATGGTTGACAAAAGCCAACCAACCAACGAACCAAAACAAAGAAAGAAAGAACCTCCTCCCCCCAAAACAAAACATGTCAATGAAACAATTCCTAATGATATTGTGGTATACTCATAGGTTGGTGCCTTACACAATTGTCATCAAAGAGGCTACCATCTGCAGCTGACAGAAGCAGATACAGAGACCCACAGCCAAACATTAGGTGGAGAAAGAGCCCAAATTGGAGATCTCCACTGAGTCCCTCCACTTAAAGCTCAGCGAACCCAGCAGAAGAGGGAGAAGAAATGATGTAGGGGCCAGAGGGATTGAGGACACTTTTGCCTTAATGTATCACAAACTTCCCACCATGGTGGTCTGATGCCTCTGACATCCTGAGCCAATAGAAGGTGTCCTTTCAGAATGCTGCCACAAGGAGGAAAGTAATTAGGTACCAGGCCCACACTGGAAGATCAAATTCCATAAATGAGTATTTAACATGGAATATATTTGTGTGCCATCTTTGCACCATATCCAATCTTCTCTTTGTGTAACAAGGATGAGGGCAATTGTCTAGAGGATTGCTGAATTCATTCCTTTACATGAAGAACTGAAATGCTGTGAAAAGAGGAGATCACACTGAGAAAGGGAAAGTATCTGTCTGTGCTATCACCATAGGATAGAAGAGGCCTAAGACTAGAAAGTCCCTTCAATGGGCTGTACTGGCTTGGGTGTTTTATTTGGGTCCCTGGGTTCTCACCTCTTCTCCTTTAGCCTTTTGGGAAGAAGAAGCCACCATTTCAGTGAGTCTGTTTTCACTTTCTTGTGTACCTATACTCCTCTATGACACCTTCATTTATGCATTTTGGAATGCTCAAAGTAGAAAATATTAAGTCATATATCCAAAAAAGTATGATTTAGATTTCCATTTCCCATCATCCAGAACCATCACTGGGATTTGTGACTTGAAACTACACTTTCATTCCTTTGTATTTTTATTCTTAGTTAGCATTGCTTCACATGGTCAAAAAAATTCACATGACTAGAGATTTCAATTTACCCACACTATATTGGACATAATCAATGAAAAATTAACCTTCTATTGACCACATTTGCTAATTTTCTGTATTAATATCAACTATGACATCACATTCTTTGAATTTCATGGGTGTATGAGTTTAACTCAAGTGGCTTGAATAGTTTTTCTAGTCAGAATACTATTAGTTATTAAATTATCCACTTTTTAAGGGAAATTTGGGACTAGAATTCAGATGTGTTGAGTTTTACCTCTGTGCTTGATGTAGAATTCCCCTCTGTATGCTGTGAATACCATTGGTTAATAAAGAAGCTGTTTGGGGCCTGAGATAGGGCAAAAGAGTAGAGTTAAAGGGGAAAAACTAAACTAAATGCTAGGAGAAAGGAGGCAGAGTCAGAAAGAACCCATGTAGTCCCACTGGAGACAGACACCAGAACTTTACCTGGTAAGCCACAGCCACATGGCGATACACAGATTACTAGAAATGGGTTAAATTTAGATGTAAGAATTAGCCAATAATAAGCTATAGCTAATGAGCCAAGCAGTGATTTAATTAATATAGTTTCTTTGTGGTCATTTTGGGAGTCTGGGCAGTCAGGAAACAAACAAGCAGCCTTCTACAGCAAATTGGCCCTCAATGTGGGGCTAATATGTTCTTGTTCCTCTATTGTTCTATTTGTTCATATACATAATTTAAAGGCAGCAACAGCAGCAATAAATTCCCCATGTCGTTTCTGTGTTCATAAGAACCTCTATTTTTTTTTTTTAGTCTACCTTCTAAAATAATGTTTTAAATCTAGGTCTCCTAACTAGAAGGCTACACAATGAAAATGAGGTTTGTTGACAGGTGTGTGACAGAGGAAACCGATGCATTCTTGCCTCAGTTGCTCAGTTTCTTTATCTTGGTGGATGAAGGATAGATAAATCATTTGGCAAAGGGCATATCCTTCAAAATTATCCAGATAAGCCTGAGTGTCTATGACTATCCATTTATTTTTGCTCATTGAGAAGAAATGTAACTTAAGTAGGATTAACATTTTATGGCATTTATTTAGTTCTTGAGTTGACTGACAAGCCTATTAATGTATTCCATGAGCTTTATTACTGTAATTGGAAAATGCCCCACATGTCAATCAACTTATAATAAGTAATTATGTTCATAAATACTGTAAAATTATTAGCTTTTAATTTGATCTCATGGCATACCTTCAAAACAGTTGCATGGATTTTTTTTTCTATTTCTAGAGGAACAAAATATACTGACAAGCACTCAGCAAGCTCATTCTTAACTGCTCAGAAGTTCATGATCATCAAATGACCTACAGAAACTATCTGGGAAGGCAGACAAGCTCTTTAAAAGTGCTTAACTGTGTAAAACAGTCTTTGCAGTAAAAAAAAAAAAGTTGAAAATAAACACCAAGGGAATTAAATTGGTGCTGGGAAAGGGCACCAGTCCCCTTGTCCAGTTTGCACACAGGCGTGTGACATGGGAAGCTAGAGAATAAAATCAGGATGCATTGCATATTGGGAAATGCAGCCTGGAAGCCTACAGGTTGTAAAGGACAAACCAATGTCACAGCTTCACTGCCTTATGCATTGTCATCCAAATATTTACTCTCCCCTCCCCTGGAAAAAGCTGAAAGGTCAACAGCTATGCAGAGGAGGGGTAGTCAGGTCTGGTGAGTAGAGAGAAAATGAAGCCACACAGACAGCTGGAAAAGCCAGCTAGACACAGAGGAGGCAGGGAAGCAGAACAGGCAGTACAGAGACTAATAGATATGGGTAATTCTAAGTTAAAAAAAGAGCTAGCTAGAAACAAGCCTAAGCTAAGGCTGAGTGTTAGTACTTAATAACAATTTTCCATGTCATGATTTGGGAGTGAGTTGGTAGCCCGAAGAGAAAAGCCTACACATGAGTAGACCGTGCCGTCATTCATTCCATCACTACTTTTACTCATGATTATCTCAGCTGCACTTTGAGATCCAGAAAGCAAAATGTTTCTGTGCAGCCAGCACATATAAACTTAAGGACAAGTGCATTATGTAAGGTGCAAAAATATGCAAATTTCACCCTCTCTGATCATGGTCCTATGTTTTCTTGAAGAGAGTTTGCATTGGCGAACTCGGGCTCTCACAGATAAGTATGAAAGTTCAAAAAAATGTGTATTTACAGATTACTGGTTGACTAGCACTGGTATCTGCTGAAGTTCAAGCAATTAAAAGGCACCGGGGAATATCTTTCCAATGACTCTCTATTTATATCTAACTTGAGTTATTCCAGAAAGCTACACCTCACATTGTCTCTCAAATGCAAGCGGAGAGGCAATGTGTAGGAAGGTTGGGGAAGGTGACTTTTAGAATTACCACCCACAATTCACAAGGCTTTCACTTCTCAACTTATCTGCTCTGGGTTTTTAAGTATTTATTTTAATGTACCAATTATGGGTTCCCCAAGATTTATCTCAGAGATGACTCCAGGGAGGATATGTAATATATCATATACAAAAACCATAATGTGGCATTAATGGCCATTGCTTGTTCTTGTAAGTGGGGATTCCTGGATCTACATAGCCATTATCCTTTAATGGAACCTAGAAGATAATTCATATGATAACGACAACATTTTGAATATTGGTAGCTGCTTCTGAGTCATCTCGATATCAATATTAAATATTTCACATGTCAAGTTTCACAGGGCAGCCCTCTTGGAAACATACAAGACACACATTTTTGGTATCTTAACAATAGACATTTCGGGCTCAGCCCTCCACAGCAGCTCCTCAGGAAGCACTCACCTTGCACAGTGAGGTGGACCTGCATGGTCCTGGGCGTGTGCTGGGTCTGCACAGAGCAGGTGTACGGGCCATCGTCCGTCACATCCACATTCTGTATCTGCAGGCTGTAGTCTCTTTTATTCAACGTGGAAATGGAAACTCGAGGGTCCACGGACCACTTGTCACCTCCAGCAAAAATGATACTTGACCTGTTGAGCCAGGCACCCTTTGAAGCTCCATCCTCCAAGTAACACCTAAACAGGGAGGGATGGGGGAAGGGTGAGGGTGATGGAGGGAGGAAGGAAAGAGGAGGGCGGAGGGAGAAGGGAGAGAGGGAAGGGAGGAGAGAGAGACGGAACTGTTATTCAAAATGAGAATGGATGATATCATTTTTGTTATGCATGTCCTTTCCACGCAATGAATAGCAACAGAGTAGCAGATGTGATATCATACATTTAGGAGATGTGAAGCTGCTGATGCTCACCCAACCTGGATGCACTGTGCACTGAGGCTCAGTTTACTGATGCTCAGTACAATTCTCCATGTTTATAAAATTTATTGTGCATGTATGTGCCTGTCCTTCAGTTCAGAGCCAAACTCTCATCCCATTCTCTCTCTGTTTATATGATTCCAAAATATAAGCAAAGTCCACACACTTCTACGTGAAATACTGCTTCTTTGACACTATAGGAGCAGATGAGGTCTGAGTGAGAAAGCTCTGAGTTGGTCTAGCTCTGAATAAAATATACCATCTATAGAAAGCCAAAGAGCACCACAGAGCTGATAATCCTAAGAAAAATCTGCTGAGTAGCAAGCTTGTAACAACTTACTATGACCTTCAATTTACAAGATATAAGCTGCTTTTACCAAATGGCTGCTGTCATCAGTGTGCAGCTGACTTTAGTGACAAAACTGTGTTTTATTTTCAGTAAAGTGTCAACTAGGTTGATTTTTTTCCCCTGCGAGACATTTACTTATCAACAAACCGCTATGTAGCTGGGAATGTGCATGGCCCTTGTTCTCTAGAAGCTGGCACCCGGTAACAAAGACAGGCAAGCAGTCTTTAGTGAGTGCACAGAGGAGAGGAGGTATCGATGAAATCAGACAAGGCACACGAGAAACCCAAGGCTCTCAGGCAAACAGAGGGTGTCGAGAATGGATATAGCAAGATTTTCTGGAAGGTGGACTGAGATGTACAGAGGGGTGTGGAAGTCACCGTAACACAGATATCACTCTGTGGACCTTAAGGTGGGAGAACCAGCTTCACAGAAGCAAGAGGTGTGGAGTAGGAGAGAGGAAGGATAGGAGTGGAGACAATCTGGAGATGGCCAATGACAACAAGCTTGATGATAGTGCATCATACAGCAAAACCTGAAGATTGCTACTCAAAGTGAGATTCTAGAACAAATGCTTAGAAACCCAATCCTATGTTCAATAGAAGGCAGGATGAGACAGGAACAGAAGGCTGGGGTCATACGCCAGTGATTTTGCTGAGGACTGAAATTCAATGTTTCATTTTGAAAAAGTTCTGTTACAAATTAAAGACTAGTTTTCTTAAATGAGTACAAAGCACTGCTACAGAAAAAGAACACATACATCCGAACAGTCTGACAGCCTTTCCAACGGAACACCTTGGGGGATTGAGCACAGTCTGAGATTGCTACAAAATTGCAAGCTGAAAGCAACTGGCAGCCACTACCAAGTTTATGAAACTAATCAGGGGGCTAACAAAGAACAAGGTTCCAGAAGAATCTAATTTGCAGCCAGCTTCCCCATCTACAGAATCCAAAGCGGTGGGGTTGTAAAGGTCATTTTTAATTGAAAAGCTATTCCTTATGTATTTAATGAAGAAAATAAAACCTCTTTAATGCTATAATTAAACAATTGCAGTGTGTTATTAATTCTTAATAATATACAGAAAGAAGATAGAGGGGACATATTTCTCATTAAACAAGATGATATCCATTGCTGCTCTCAGGTTGAACTCTATATATTTATTAAGTGGGTCCTTCAAATGCTCCTTGTGTGACCTCTGAATTCCTGGCATTTTATATAGAAAGGTGCTTATCGTAGACCTGGAGGTCATGGCTTGCTGCAGCATTTACCCCTATAAAATAAATAGAGATGTGGAGGTTATGAGTCCCCCAAGACACTCCATTGTTGGGTAGCAGTATTGCATTTGCAAACAAGTCTTTTTAAAACCCACATCTGATGCCCTTTCCACAGCAATGCAGATCAAAGACTTAAACATTTTAGATATGGAAAGATGATTAGGATGTTGCAGATGTTACTGCGAGTAATTTCTTATTTAGTGAACGTAACAGATTACTTAACCTGTCTATTCGAAAGGAAGCAGAAAATTCATTAGGGATGGGTATTTTGCCATGAGATTTGGAGACTCTTCTGGGCAGTTCTCTTTCTCTGGAGACAGACAAAGCTTTGCTTGCATCTGGGGTGAAGAGGACTCCCCACATTAGCTAGCACAGCCAGACACAAACTTCATTCCTTTTTCTGGAGCTGCAGAGGACACCACAGAAGAACTGGTTGGCCTTTGCCAAAGAGAATAGCAAAAAAGGTTCTGTTATGTATCCTTGGTTGGAAGAGCAACAGCCCATAGCTATCCTTGGCTCCAACCCAATGCTCTTCAGGGCACATGCTTAGAAAATTGTTCAAATGAGAATCAGGCATAAATACAGCTTTTGATCAGTTCCATGTATTTCTACACCTTTATTCTCAATCACACTTAACAGGCCCTCATAAACTAAAATTACTGTATGTGGAATTTTACAAATTGAGGATAATCAGGCTGGGCAAGGCATGGGGTTTTCTAAAGCAACAGGCTGTAGGTAGTAAATGCATGTAGCTTTAAGGTTAAGGCAATGGCTGCATGAAACACATTAAATAGGCCAATTCCTCACACACACACACACACACACACGCACGCACACACACACACACACACACACACACGTGTGTGTCTTGTTATTTCTAGCGTTATTATATGAAGTCCTTGCAAATTCGACATTTCATAGTCATGCTTATTTTTCTTCCTCCTCCACCAAAGCATTTCCCTTTACAACACAAGGAGCTATTTATGAGTTAAGAAATCCACTAAGGAGTTGAAGTTCGCTAGGTGTAGTGGGATGGGTATGACAGCCACATGAGGAACTGTTATAAATATCTATTTTTCTGAACTCTAGGTACTTTAATATTTTGATGTTATTGTTACCTTTGTTTTATGATATCTGGAATCCACAAATAAAAGTCCCCATAAAACCTGATCTATATAGGATTTATAATGTGAATGGCACAGCACGCTCTGAATTGTGAATGGTGCAGACCAAGAAGTGGTAAATATCATTCTGACTACGTATCCTTGCCCCCAGCTGATAAGCAGCCTCCTCCAACACCCAACACCTGTAACCAGGGCCCTTTTCCCCCTACAGGGGGAGCTTTCAACACTTAAATCAGGCCAAGTTGAGGCCTCCTATTTGACTCTAAAGAAAAACCCCAGCTGATAAGCAGCCTCCTCCAACACCCAACACCTGTAACCAGGACCCTTTTCCCCATAAAGGGGGAACTTTTAACAGTCAGGCCAAGTCGAGGCCTCCTATTTCACTCTAAAGAAAAACACAATTGCCTGTTATCCAAGACATTCTGGGTAGTGAGGTACTCCATGTATTTCTGACCTTACTGGTTGTGATGGTTGTTTCTTAGGAGCTGTTCTTTTGCTACTTCATAACTGTAATTTTGCTATCATGAATTGTCATATAAACAATCTGATATATAGGCTATTTCATGTGTGGGTCATGACCCACAAGTTGAGAGTCGAGAGTTGCTGCTCTAAGCTGATGACATGCTTGTGAATGTGCACAACTGCACTGTTTGACTTAAGGAGTGTTTCCAAACCATGAGACACGGTGTGGAATGTTACAGACACTTCACACCATCAGATGTGTGAGTCCTGCCATCTTTGCTTCACAGATGCAGAAAGAAAGAGACAGATGGTTTCTAACCTAAGCAAATGAGCCACGAGCCACAGTGCCATGCTTGCCCTGTGGCTTCGTGGACAGTTTGGTTCACTCTGCAGACACATTCTTGCAAAGGACACACGGTAAAGTGAAAACACTAGGGTGAATAAAAATGTGGTACAGGCCTGGAAAGAACTCTCAACAGAGGAATACAAAATAGCTGAGAGACACTTAAGTGGATGCTCAACATCCTTAGTCATCAGAGAAACACAAATCAAAACAACTCTGAAATTCTATCTTATACCTGTAAGAATGGCCAAGATCAAAAACACTGATGACGACTTATGCTGGAGAGGTTGTGGGGTAAAGGGAAGACTCCTTCATTGCTGGTGGGAGTGCAAGCTGTTACAACCCCTTTGGATGTCAGAGTGGTGATTTCTCAGAAAATTAGGAAACAACCTTCCTTAAGACCCAGCAATACCACTTTTGGGTATATATGCAAAGGATGCTCAATTGTGCCACAAGGACATTTGCTCAATTATTTTCATAGTAAGTAGTATTATTTGCCATAGCCAGATCTGGAAACAACCAAAATGCCCCACTACCCTTAAAAATGGATACGATAATGTGGTACAATTACACAATGGAGTACTACACAACAGAAAAAAAAGTAATGACATCTTGAAATTTGCAGGCAAGTGTATGGAGCTAGAAAATATTATATTGAGTGAGGTAACCCATACCAATAAAAATAAATATCACATGTACTTACTCATACGTGACTTTTAGACATAAAGCAAAGAAAGCCAGCCTACAATTCACAATACCAGAGAACCTAGACATCAATGCGGACCCTAAGAGAGACATACATGGATCTAATCTATAGGGGAAGTAGAAAAAGACAAGATCTCCTGAGTAAATTGGGAGCATGTGGACGATGGGAGATGATAGAGGGGAGGGGAGAAAAAGAGAGGGGAGCAGAGAAAAATATATAGCTCAATAAAAATAATTAAAAATGCATCTAATGGAAGAGTGACTGACAAACTGCCAATATAGGTAAAACAATCTTTCAAATTTCCTGCTTTTCATTTAAAAGTCTGCTAGATACTATGGGCCTGTAAGTGAAGACTGATGTCCCAGTGTGATAGGAGAACTTTGACTGTCCAGGCAGCAAGATGTCTCTGTCAATTCTAGAGTTTTGGAAGTTGCTTACAATGTACTTCTTGTTAACTTAGGTAATGTTATATCCTTATGGGGTCTTTGAAGAATTGAAGAAAGATAGT